AAAATTAATTTTTAATAAAATAAAATTTGCAGCATGCATGTTTATTTTTTGTACTTTCTAATTATTGTATATGTTGATTAAAAAAATTAAAATAGTTAAGATTGTAAAATTTATATTTTATTTAAAATTTTTATTATAAAAATATATTTTTAAATAAATTATCATTTAAAAGTTTATATTAGATATTAAAAACATATTTATGTCATAAATAAATTAAACTTGATTTTTATAAAACTTAACATACTTATTTTTATGATTCTATTAGTGCTAAATTATAATAAAGTAGACATTCAGGGTTGTAGTTCTAACCAAATATTTAAAAAAGTATTTATCACAAATAAATAAGTTATACTTAGGATATGTATTTTCAAACCTACTAAATTATAGTATAACCTAGTTTGACCTAATTTATTTTCATCTATAATCATAATCATAAATATAAAAATTTATAGAAAATAATAATGATATATTTATAATTTTGAAAGTTATATGTAAAATTTTTAATACTACAAATATATAAATAAGTATTACTCTCACTATCTAAAGTTTGAGTTAATCACCTATACACTGCTAGTATAAAGTTTTTTTATTCTCGCAACCAATTATATCTTTTAATTGTGTCATGTCATTTACTTTTAATAGTGACATAGCACAATTAAAAGATATAATTGATTACCAGTGTAAAAAAACTTTACACTGGTAGTATATAGATGATTAACTCGTAAAGTTTCTAGACCCGTCATTGATTATAAGTATAATAAATTTGATATGAAAATAAATTATGTTGAAAAAAGTACTTATTTTGTGCAAGATCATGGTCTATGATAGAGATCGGTCATTACTTTCAACAATGGATATATTGCATACTAATATTATGATTAAAAAAAAGTAATTTTACATAATTCAGTTGTTAGGTCACATAAATTTGTAGTTTACACAAATTCTTAAAGTATAATTTTATATTAAATTGTACTTTTAATCACTCTATTTTTATCATCCATAATTCTGATCCTAATATTTTAAAATAGAGATATTTATTTTTTTATATTTTAAAATACAAAATTTAGTTCTTTTGTCAAACTAACATTTATTAGTCATTGAATTTTAGCATTTAATTATATTCTAATGTAACATTTAGTAATATGACATTTTGAGATTAAAAAAACTATAAAAAAAACATACAAATAAGATTTATTGATAGAATAAATACTAATCACTTGTTAAAATAGACACATAAACCAATTTTTTTGTATATTAGTTTCTTTTATAAAAAAAGTTTCCTACATGACCCCACCAAATATCATATAACATAAGTGATAAAAGGTTAGGGAAAAACATCAAAATTTATGATCAACAAACATTAAATTAAAAATAGGATCAAAATTCTTTATTTTTAAAAATAAAAGGATTAAATATATTTATTTTAAAATAGAAAAGTCTGAAGTTCAAATTAATCATAATTTTATTCACTTTGACAGATGAAGTCAACCCATAATAACACTATTTTAACGGTTAATCAAATTTTATATGTTAAACACAAATGACTATCTTAAACAATAATATTTTTAAGATTATTCTTGGACAACAGTATTTTAAGAACTCTTTTAACTCCTTATCTAATTCAATTTTTATTTATTTATGATATTTTATTATAATTTAAAATTTAAAATTTTTAAATAAATTATCAATAATTAAAAATAATATGATTATTTATCTTAAATATAAAAATTTATATATTTAAAATATTTATTTATGTTAATTATAAATATAACTTATATATTGAAATATAATATTTATTTATTTTTACACAAAATATATTGTTAAATCACATTCAAAAGTAACACTTAAATTGTGTGTAACTATATATAAAATAGATATATACTTGCATATATTGTATCTCTAATGACAGTTTTTTATATGTCACTATATGTAACATTTTTTATAGAACATGTTTCATCTCCCACATTCACGATACACTTTTTAATATATATTTTTAAAATATAAATTTAACTCACCTAATAATTCAATTTAACATTCCAATTAATTGAATTATTTATACAAAATTTGTACAATTTTAAAATTATTTAAGTAATCAAACCATTTATTTTAACTTATAATATAATAAGTAAAATAAAAATATTTATTTTAAATAACATTCTATATAATTTTAAAGTATATTTTTTTAATATACTATTTCTTTTATTACCCAAATAACCCACCCCTAATTATTTATCCAACTGACCCACTTTCCCGGCTCAAGTGAGAAATCAGTTGGTAACTTTCAGGGATAAATACAATTAAAATACAATTTACTAAATGTCTAAGATGTCCTTCCTTCCCTTTTATAAAATAATTAAAATACTTAAACATATTTTCTCCTATTAATAAATAACATAAACATAATTCTTGATAAAAACATGTTCTCATAAAAATAGTCTTATGGCAATAATTCAAATATTAATTAAAAATCACGTTTTATATTAAAATAGAGCTTACAAAAAATAGATAAATAATATAAAATATATTTTTTCCTTTCAGTAAAAATAACATATGTTTTATATAAAAATAGAACTCATATCTACTAGCTAAATAATATTAAAAATCTTTCTAATAAATATATTAAAATATTAAAAAAAATACAAACATATCATTAATAAAATATATTTCATAAAAGTTACCTATATATCACTAATCAAAATAATCATTATAAATCATGTCTCATAAATAAAATAGAATTCATATAATTAATTAAATAATATAAAAACTCAAAAATAACTATATTAAATATCAAAATAATTCCAAAAATATTATTTATATAAAGTATGAAAAATCAAGGTGTTACAACTCTCCCCTTTTTTGAAATTTCTTCCTTGAAATTTACCTGCTAAGAACAATATTGAGTACTCTTGTATCTAGCTCTCAAATTCGCAAGTCATACTCTCCTCAGTTCCCTATTAGAAACTATACTTGTAGGAAAATTCATATAACCTCACTACCTTATAGATGTACAACTCTATCAATCTCCCTAAGGAATATCTAATATCAAGAAGGATAAGGTGAGCAACCTTGGTGAATCTATCCACCACGGTTTTGTCTTCTAATATTAAATCTTTTAATTTACTTAAATATTCTAGTTTTTCTTCTTCATTAGGAATTTTTTCTACCATTTCTAATATTAATTTTGCTTTAGCGGTTATTACATTTATACTAAATGAACATGAACATGGATTTTCATCACATTCGCATTCACTGTCTTCATCACTTGAAGTGTCTGTATTATCTATATATTCTACACTACTATTATCTTCTTCCTCACTTTCTGATTCATAAAGTAAAAGTTTTGCAATTTGCTCTTTTAATTCTTCAAACATATTTAAATTATTTATTTTTTCTTTAACTCTACAATCTTATTTCATATGCCCATATCTTCCACACTTGAAATAAACTATTCCTTTATTTTTATTAAGAAAGGTTTGTTTTTTATTAAAATTTTTCTTATTATTATTATTATTATTAGTAGTAAATTTTCTTTTCTTAAAAGGCAGGGTATTTTTTCTAAAAGATTGATTTCTTTTAAAAGGTCTTCTAATATTCTTTTTATATTTTCTTGATGGAGGTGTTATGCCTTCGTACCCATATTGAGCACAAAAATTTCCCAATTCTCTTATTTCACTTTCTTTTTGTTTTTTAATTTGTTTTTCTAGTTTCATATTATTACAGATTTCTAAAGCAGTAGTTTTTATTATCGCAATTATTCTTCCATAGGTTAATTCTTGTAAGTTTTCATCATATGTTTGGCTTAATTTTTCTCTAATTTTTGTAGCAAAAACTGGGGACAATCCTGCAATAAATTTTTCTTTCCAAAAGTTTTCTTTACAGTCTGCGCTAGTCATTACCATCATTATAAAATTGTCTACGTACCATCTGAAATCTCCTAAAGTTGGACATCTTAGATTATGTAAGAGGGTATTTGTCTTATTATCAAAGATATTTGAATCTCCCATAAAACTTTGAATTATAGATATTATTAAGGTTTCT